TTGGTTAAAAGGCGAAAGATTGGTACGAACTGAAATGAACGCTGTGATGAATGCGTCTTTCGTCGCTGCAATGCTCACAGCGTCGTCGCTGCATGTTGCGGCGGTTTGCGAACACGAAAAGTCGTTAGCGGGACCTTGTTGGGAACTCGTCAATGACGATGCTGCGCTGCCGTGGCAAATTCGTGGCCAGCATCGCGGGGGCTCTGGTCGGTCTGAATGTTGGCAGTCGCTCGCAAGCAGGCCACCTCGCAAGAAATTCTGCTATGGATGACTCCATCGGAGGCTCCTAAGGCGCTACAGGCCTCAGAGTGCAGTGAGCTGCTCGACCCTACGAGAGCGAGCTGCTGGATCTCCGCCCGACAAACACTAGCCAGGTAAGTATATAGAGCATCCCCACGCACGCCGCGCTGGCTGCGAGCCACTGCGGGGTATCGGGCATGCTGGCGGCACCGCCTCGCTTCTCGCCTCAAACCCAGGTTTGAGGTGGGTAGCTGGCTTTGTTTTTTCGCGGGCGGGCGGGGCTGGCCGTCTGTCGCGCTATCGCGCGCCGCTTTTGGTCAACTGGGGCCAGCTCCAGCCCCCCCCCCGCGGAGCGGCAGCGCGCTGCGCGCCGAGTGCGGAGGAGGACACATAGTACTAGTATGTCCTTCTGCGTCCCAAGCCCTGGTCTCGCAACTCTCGTGATCTTCATTCTGCTCGCAGGGTCCGGCGCGAAACCTGCGTCGGTCTCATTCTGGGAGACGCCGGCTGACTGCAAGGCTGCCTCCCGCACTTGCTCTGAGCCTTTGTTCGTCGCGCACAGCCGAGTGAATGGGATGCCCGTCTGCTTCTCGAACTGCATTGTGAGGACGAAAATGCACCCATACCTCTACCTTTCCATCGCTTCCCCTTTGTGGGCCTCCGGGGAGGCCCTCGTCGCCACCGCTTGATTCGCGTCGAAATCCTGGGCAAACGCACCCTGGGAGCGGTCCGGGTAGTAGCGGTATCGGTACTTTTTGGTCTCCCACGAATCGCCTGCAAAGTGCCAGCGCGTAAAAATGTCGCAATTCCTCCCGCGCGGGCTGCTCTGAGCTGAGGCCGGTGTACCGTGCGGTGCACCGTCTTCAGCTCGACTCGGTCCACCTTCTCGCGCACGCCTGCATGCACAGGGTCTCCTCGGCATCGTCGGTCACCTTCTCCCCGAGGCGATCGGGCCGAAGCTGTTGGAAGTCTGCGACGATCATGCAGTAGGGAGAAGGGGGACGACGCTGTCCAAGGGAAGCAAGCAGAAAACGATGACGAGGACGCTGAGGGAGGAGGACGAGGACGAGGACGAGACACGGGAAAGAGCGCTGTCCAAGAGAGGGACACCGCTGAGGATGAATTGGTCACGATGGCAACGGCATGGAGAAAAACACGGGTAGGTCGGGGAGGAGGGCGCGCACGGCAAGGCGGAAGGACGTCGAGAGGCAGGCAAAACAAAGGAAGGAGGGGGAGGGAAATGAGAGGGAGGAGGGAGGTAAAGGGGGCAAGCAGAAAGCGACGTCGAGGACGTTGAGGGAGAAGGAAGGAATAGGAGGCAGGCAGAAAACGACAACGAGGACGGCGACGACGACGACAACGACGACGACGACGACGACGACGAAGGTTGTTGCCCGGTGTCCCCAAAAAGCGCTTGTATGTTGGCGGACCCTGTCTGGGGTTCACGCTAGCGCACTGATTTACTTTCACAGGATTCCCGTTGGCATGTGACAACCCGTCACCAGTCCAGCCGAGACAATCATGTGTGATGTGCCCGGGTTCAACTCGACCGCCTATGGATTCACGGAGGCCCGCAAAAATTACCGAACGATGTGCATGTCAGTTCTTCGCACGCCCCTCTACGGAAGGGGACGAGCCTGAGGAGTCGGAGGCGTCACACGAAAATCAAGAACCCTATCGTAGTATAAAAGCTTGCGCAGTATTCGGACGTACGATGAGAAATGTGGACGCCACCAGCCCTGCATACCAGAAGCCTCCATGCAAGCGTCTGGGGCCTGAGTGGGCATCGCGGCAGGGCCTCTGTAGGCGCGCTGGGGGCCTCTGCGGACTGGGTCTAGGGCCGTAGAGAGCAGCGCGGCGGGGCCTCAGTGGGCAGAGCTCGGGGGCCTCTGCGGGCAGTGGCTGGGGGCCTCGCTAGGCAGCGCGCTGGGGCCTCTGTGGGCGCCCTTGGGGCCTCTGTGGGCTGGGGCCTATGCGGGTGTGCGCTGTGTCGGGGGGCCGCAGTGAGCAGCGCGCTGGGGCCTCTGCGGGCGCGCCTGGAGCCTGTGTGGGCTGGGGCCTCTGTAGGCTGTGGGCAGCGTGCTGGGGCCTCTGTGGGCGCGCTGGGGACTCTGTGGGCAGCGTGCTGGGGCCTCTGTGGGCCGTGTCGCGGGGCTCCAAGAAACAGCGTGCTGGAGCCTCTGTGGGCGCGCTTGGCCTGTGGGCTGCGTCGGGGGCATCAGTGGGCAGCGCGCTGGGGCCTCTGTGGGCGCGCTTGGGGCCTCTGTGGGCTGTGTCCGAGGGCCTCAGTGGGCAGCGTGCTGCGGCCTCTGTGGGCGCGCTTGGGGCCTCTGTGGGCTGTGTCAGGATGCCTCAGTGGGCAGCGCGCTGGGGCCTCCGCGGGCGCGTTTGGGGCCTCTGTGGGCTGTGCCTGAGAGCCTCGGTGGGCAGCGTGCTGGGGCTTCTGTGGACGCGCTGAGGGCCTATGTCGGCTGTGTCCGAAGGCCTCAGTGAGCAGCGTGCTGGGGCCTGTTTGGTTCGGGGGCCTCCTCTGGGCAGGGCGTCTAAGGGTTAATTGTGCGGGCGTATCGAGCGTGAGCCCCTGTCGTCGCAGGTGGGCCTCCGCCGCCGTGATTGACTTGCGGGGAAGCCTCGAGCGAAAGTGCCGTTCCTGAGTTCGAGGGCCTCTCTGGCCAGGGGGTCTCGAAGTACAGCTTGAGGACGTATCGAACGGGAGCCCTTGTCGTCGTGGATGGGCCTCCACCAACTTGCCTGAACTACGAGAAAATACCGAGCGAGAGTGCCGTTCCTGAGTTCGAGGGCCTCCCTGGCCAGGGGCTGTCGGAATACATATTGAGAAAGATCAAACGGGAACCCTCGTCGCCGTGTCTGGGCCTCCACCAACTTTTTTGAATTACGAGAAAGTCTTGAGCGACAGCGCCGTTCTTGAGTTCGGGGGCCTCTCTGGCCAGGGCCTCTGGAAGTACATATTGCGGAAGTATCAAACGGGAACCCTTGTCGTCGTAGTTGGGCCTCCACCAACTTGGTTGAATCACGAGAAAGTCTCATGCGAGAGCGCCGTCCCTGAATTCGGGGGCCTTCCTGGCCAGTGCCTCTCGGAGTAAACCGTGATGACGCATCAAGCGGGAGCCCTTGTCGTCGTGGTTGGGCCTCGAAGGGCACACATTTACAATCAAGCCCGCGCTCGAGCGGGAGCCTCGTTTTCAGAGGAATTGCAGCTGGCGTCGAGGCAAGAGCGCGCGGAACCGTTTCCGGAGATCTTCAAGAGTTATTCTTCAGAAATGAGTACTCAACAACAGCAACGCAACAACGCAACAACATGAAAAACACTAACAACAACAACAACAACAACAACAATCATTTTACCCGAACGCTCAGTGTTCTCACCAGTGCCAGGGTTTTCATGCGACGCGAGACAATACCCCCACTTCGTGGGGGGGCAGTTCAAGCTCTACCAAATATCCAAACGACTCTTCGCGACCACCCAAACCCAGCTTCCCGCCCTATGACGTTGGGACACTTCACTTCGTGGCGTGCGGACGACCGTGGCTACTACACTGGCGTGGGGTACACACCCACAGAACTTGGTCACTTATTCGGGGCGCGCGTGTGCCCAGCATCCTGCAATTGTGACATACAATACATGACACAGACAGACAGAGAGAGAGACAGAGAGCAGACAGAGAGAGAGACAGAGAGAGCGGAGTTGGTCACATTTTTGGGGCAAGTTCCTGAGATCGTCGTGTTTTTTGTTGGTCTTGCGCGCGCGAATGTCCACTTTACTTTTTTTTGCAAGGGAGTATTGAAATTTGATTATGTTAGAACAAGAAAAAGTAGCTCGCGCGAGCTCATGTAACATAAATGTTGAAAAACCATTGGTTTTGTGGGATTCGGACAGCGCGCGCGGGAAGGACATTTGGACATTTTTTTTTGAAAAACCATTGGGTTTTTGATGTTTTTATGTTGAAATCGTTACGAAACCTAAGGTTCTGGAAGGATTTCGTCTTGCGCGCGCGAATGTCCACTTTACCTTATTTTTTGCAAGGGATTATTGAAATTTGATTATGTTAGAACAAGAAAAAGTAGCTCGCGCGAGCTCATGTAACATAAATGTTGAAAAACCATTGGTTTTGTGGGATTCGGACAGCGCGCGCGGAAGGACATTTTGACAATTTTTTCTTAAAAAACCATTGGGTTTTTGATGTTTTTATGTTAAAATCGCTACGAAACCTAAGGTTTTGGAAGGATTTCGTCTTGCGCGCACGAATGTCCACTTTACCTTATTTTTTGCAAGGGATTCTTGCAATTTGATCAAGTAAGAACAAGAATTTTCATTTTCTATTGTTTTTTGCAAGGGAAAACGAGCGTCAACAAAAAACCGGATCCGGAGCACAATCCACTTTTCTGAAGCTTTCGCGAAAAAATGATGAAAATGTAGCTGCGGCCTAGGCGCGGCGCAGAGGTCGCGCACCAGGGGTCCCAACAATAATAATTCTTTAGAAGGAATAATGTTCAACAACAACAGCAACAACAACAACAACAACAAACACATCCACAACAACAACGACAATAACAACAAAAACAACAACCACAACAACAACGTAACAACGCAACAACGCAATGACGCAATAACAATCGGCACCGCGGAAGCCCACTTCAGCCACGCGCCCAGGGACACTGAATGACCATTCGGACCACTCACTCTGGTTCATACGCTTCCTCCTATCCCGCCTCCTCTTACTATTCCTCCTCGCTCTGAGGCGTCTAATCTGTACTACGACGCCGTGCCCGGCATCGTGCAGAGCACGCTGGACGACATCGGTGCCATCACGGGACGCTACTACAAGATCTTCGATTACAAGGGCCATCCAAAGGCTGAGCACGTCATCGTGTCCATGGGAAGTTCGTGCAACGTCATCAACGAAGTGGTCAAGGCCGAGCACGAGAAGGGCGTCAAGGTCGGCCAGGTTAACGTGCACCTCTTCCGCCCGTGGGACAGCACATCCTTCATCAATTCCCTGCCGCCCACCGTAAAGACCGTGACGGTGCTTGACCGCACCAAGGAGAGCGGCTCCCGCGAGCCGTTGTTCCTGGACGTGGCGTCGACGATGCAGACGGCGCAGGTGCCGGTGACTGTGCTCGGAGGCCGCTACGGCCTGGGCCAGAAAGACTTGACGCCCGGCATGGTGCTCTCCGTCTTCGAGAACTCCCGGAAGGAGATGCCGAAGGACGGCTTCACCATCGGCATCGACGACGACGTGACGCACACGTCGCTGGTGCCCGAGGCGGAGCCGGTGCTGTGCCCGCCGGGGACCAAGCAGTGCCTCTTCTGGGGAATGGGCAGCGACGGCACCCTCAGTGCCAACAAGAACGCCATCAAGCTCATCGGCACGCAGACCGATCAGCACGTGCAGGCGCACTTTGTTTACGATAGCAAGAAGGCCGGCGGCTGCACCGTCTCTCACCTGCGCTTCGGCCCCGAGCGCATCGAGTCGTCTTACAACATCATGTCGGCGGACTTCATCTCCTGCTCCCAGAGTACCTGGGTGCCGAAGTTCAAAGACCAGCTCTGGGCCACCATCGCCCCAGGCGGTACCTGTGTTTTGAACATCCGCCAGAAGACGCCCGAGGAGGTCTCGGAGGTCTTGCCAGCGGTCATGAAGCGCATCGCGGCCGAGCGCGACATCAAACTTTACACCATCGACGCGAACGCGGTCGCGAAGGCATGCGGCCTTGGCCGGCACACGAACAACATCTTGACCGCGGTATTCTTCAAGTTGTCGGAGGTGCTCGACGTCGATGAGGCCATCTCCCTGTTCAAGGACTCGATGCGCAAAAGCTACAAGGCCAAGGGCAAGGACATCGTGGAGAGGAATCTGAAGGCTGTCGACCAGGCGTTCGAGAACCTCCACCGAATTCACTTCCCGAAGGACGAGTGGCTCTCTGCCGTGGACCACAAGCCCGTGGACCCAGGCCGCCCAGCCTTCTGCACGGAGGTCATGGACAAGATGAGCGCCCTGGACGCCGACAACCTGCCGGTGTCCGCCTTCGACCCGCGCGGCCACTTCCCGACGGCCACCACCATGTACGAAAAGCGCAGCTTCGCCCTCTCGGTGCCCGTCACGGACATGGACAAGTGCACGCAGTGCAACAAGTGTGCGGCGATCTGCCCCCACGCGGCGATCCGCCCGTTCCTTATCACGCAGGTGGAGGCCGACAGGGCCCCTCAGACCTTCGAGATGGTGAAGGCCAAGGGTGGCATCGAGACCGCTGGGCTGATGTACCGCATCCAGGTGGCCCCGGACGACTGCACCGGCTGCCAGGCCTGCAGCAACACCTGCGGTGACGGGGCGCTCACGATGACCCCGCTCCCAGAGGTGGTGAACATGGAGCAGTCGAATTGGGACTTCGGCATCAAGCTTCCCGACAGGGGGAGCTACGTCGAGAAGAGCACTGTGAAGGGTGCCATGTTCCAGAAGCCCATGCTCGAGTTCTCCGGCGCCTGCGAGGGCTGCGGGGAGACACCGTACGCGAAGCTGGCCACGCAGCTCTTCGGGGAGCGTCTGCTCATCGCGAACGCCTCGGGCTGCAGTTCCGTCTGGTCCGGCACCGCGGCCTTCAGCCCCTTCGCCAAGAACGAACACGGCCAGGGCCCCGCCTACGGCCGCTCGCTCTTCGAGGATGCGGCAGAGTACGGTCTCGGCATGGCCAAGTCCATCAAGCAGCGCCGCGAGCAGCTGGTCAGCCGGGTGGACTCGCTGCTGAACGCCGAGGAGCACGAGCTGGTCCTCGGGCTCCTGCCCGCGCGGCTCCGGGAGAACATGGCCGAGTGGCTCATGCACAAGGACGACCCAGAGATCTCGCAGCGCCTGGCCCGCGCCATCAAGGAGGACCTGAAGGGCGTGCAGGACGGCACGCTCGCCTCCCCGAAGAAGGGGGGCAAGACTCTCGCGTCGAAGGCGGGCTCGATGGACATGTTCCGCAACAGTGTCACGGCGAAGGTGGACACTAACACGGAGATATTGAGGAGCGCGCCGATCATGCAGGACATCTTCTCCATGGAGGACTCGTTCGTGAAGGTCTCGCCCTGGATCTGGGGTGGCGACGGCTGGGCCTACGACATCGGCTTCGGCGGGCTGGACCACGTGCTTGCACAGTCGCGGGACATCAACCTCAACGTCCTGGTCATGGACACCGAGGGCTACAGCAACACTGGCGGACAGGTCAGCAAGGCCACCAACTACGGCAGCGTGCAGAAGTTCGCCCCGGCAGGCTACCGCCTCGCCAAGAAGGACCTGGGCGCCATCGCCATGAGCTACGAGCACGTCTACGTGGGTTCCATGGCCATCGGCGCGGACTACGGGCAGTCCGTGAAGGCCTTCCTTGAGGCGGAAGCGTTCGACGGGCCGTCGATGTTGTTGGCCTACTCGCCCTGCATCGAGCACAAAATCCTCTTCCCACGCGGGCTGTCTCACCTGGAGAGCGTCATGCAGGAGGCCGTCGAG